AGAATTCTTGGATCATCCTGCCAACACCCCATTGTCTGGCGCTCTTTCAACTGCAATGGCTAATGATTATGCGTTGGCAGGGTGATGCAAGCACGAAATTGAGTGTTCGATAAATTGCCTGTGTCATTTTGTGGCAGCGGTAGTCGGAACTATTTTCCTTCCGTTGAGACAATTAGTAAATCCCACAAAGAGTTGTCGCTCTAAAATCTACTTGTTACTTATACTTAACAATGGCCTTAATAGATGATTGCTTATTGCTGAGCCTCCCACCTATTGTCGTATGCTGTGCTTTACGATCCCTTTGATGTACAGGTTTCAAAAGGAAGTTAGACATCAAAAATGGATTGCAGGCAACTAGTGAAGTGTTACCATTAGCCAACCCGCACTAATTACTGGCAAAAATCGCCGTCTTAATTCGGATTTTTGTAAATTTAAATAGTGTCTTGCACTCTTCTTAATCGTAGACTGTGTGTAAAAACCGTTTACAATCGTTCCACGCGTGATATAGTTTAATAGTTTTTTTAGGAATATCCGTTCGACAGTAATCACACATCGCCCTTTTGTGGTAACTATCAGGGCGAACCATTTTGTTGATTTAAGCGATATCTTCAATGGCCTTAATACTGAAAATGTTAATGCCTACGGACGTCCTTTTTCCAAAAAATACAATCTTCAAAGACACCGCTCCTAGGCTTCTTTTAAATTTTCTTATCTTCAATCAGCAGAACTTCCTTCTTAGGATAATTGACAGTTTGTATATTCTCTACTGTGTTGATATCTTCTTAAATGCGCTGTGTTAGCTGTCTAAGTAAACAAGTGAGCATACACTATCCTGTTTATTTTCACTAATCACATTAACGACTGATGTCCCATAGATATTGTTTCATCCATTTCATTAGCTCTGTATATGTTTTCTAAAAATAAACGACATTTTCCCCATATCTATCAGTGTAAAATTGTTAGCGAAAAATTTAATCACTCATTGAGGTCCGATGACTGAAAATTCAGAACAGCGTGTTCAAAGTCATCGTCACCCACTGCAAGAGCTGATGACTCACAGTAAATTCGTCGTGCTAGGCGTGACCTCGCTATAGTTTGATTTGTTTGCAGTTTCATTGAATTGAGCAGATCTGTTATTTGTGCTTTCTATTTACACTTTCTAAAATTTCTTCGATCATTCTCGTCGTCGCATCGCATTTACGACCTTGATTGTTTTATGGTAACATGTAATAAAAAACCCCAAGCGTTGCCCGCGTTTCCTGCTTTCACGATTAAATTTGGCAACGAGGTTTTCAGCCATACTTTCGCCAACCTTCATGACATGTGCTTCCTAAAAAGACATTTACGAAGAATATTTTCCGATGCCTGTTTTCGTGAAAGTAGGAGAATATCCTTAGAAGACCCAAATGTTGCTGAAAAAGTGCGCCATTAGTTTTGTGACATCAACCAGACGAATAACCGTGGGACGAAAAGGCATGGACAGCATTCTACTCAGAATTTTATTCGCGCCATTTTCGACTGCAGTACTTTGTCTACTCGTGTTTTGAGAATTCATGCGCGTGTCTTCCTCCCAGTCGTAAATTGAGTTAACTGTCTTTCCCTCAAAACGTTGTCGGTGCCCATGAAGCAGAGCTAATATGAACCTCTGGCGACGAGATCCTATGATTGGCAAATACGAACCGACAGCAAGTACGGAACAAATTTGTAAGAGCGGAATGGGAGAAAATGAATTTCCATTTCTGCTTATTGCGGCAGTAGCAAACTAT